TGACAGTGACCACGTTGCACATAATTCATCCACTACAGAGCATGTACTGAGTTTACCTTTTTGTCTGTAGAAAGCTTGCAGTAGAGGCAAAGATCTATTTTTTTATTTATCTGAATATATTTATCTGAAGTCAGATTGGTGTGTTCTGTGAATTTGGATTCCTTTATTTACTACTGCAGGAAATCACTGCAGTCTTTACGAGAAGGTATCTCTGGAGTTAGGAAACAGAGGACTTTGACTATAGCCTTTAGTTGTAAATGGCTGTTTAACGTATAAATAAAGTATATATCAATTTCTTTTATTTATGTACTTAGCCCAACATCCAGAAAAAATAAAAGCTTTTGGATTTGAGGAGGAAGTATACATATCATTCTTAATTAATTCATTTAATCGTGTGGAGTCATTGCAAAGCGAAAACATTCTTCAGATGCCATTTTAGGAGGTGAGGCAGAACACTTCTTCATAATAGAACTCTTCCTATCTGTATATAGCACTCTTTTTATTTTAATATACTGCTGTTGCTGCATTTCTTTCATGGGTGGGTGTACTGTTTCTGTGACATCAAAACCAAAGAATATGGACTTTGTGGTGACACTCATGTTGTGAACTTGAATGAGACATCTGGAAATCTCTTAATCACTGGGGCAGTTTGTGAAGAACAGTAGCCCTTGGGAAGGGCTCACATTGGAGAAGTTTGTGGAATACTGTCTCTTTTTGGAGGGACCCCACAGTGGAGCAGAGGTGTAGAGTGAGAGGAGAAGAAAGGAGCAACAGAGGCAACGTGTGATGAACTGACCACATCCCCCGTCCCCTTGTGTCACTGAGGGAGAAGAATTAGAGAAAACTGGGAATGAAGTTAAGCCTGGAAAGAAGAGAGGGGTGGGGGGAAGATGGTTTTTACATATAATTTTTATTTCTCATTACCCCACTCTACTTTTGATTGCTAAAAATTAATTTTTTTCCCCAAGTTGAGTCTGTTTTGCCTGTGATGGTAACTGGTATTATGTATGATCTCTCTGCCCTTAACTCGACCTATGAGCCTTTTGTTATATTTTTTCTCCTCTGTCCAGCTGAGGAGGGAGGTCATAGTGTGGCTTTGGTGGGCACCTGGTGTCCAACCACAGTCAATTTGCCAGAAGAATTATAAATACTACCATAGTAATAAAGACTTCTCCCCCCCACCAGGCAGTAGAGCTTGAAAACTAAGGATTGAGCCCAGCTCTTACTGGACTTGCATAGCTGATTCTTACTGTACTTGGAATTTCTTTTTTTTTTTTTTTAACCCTGGTAGGGGGTATTTGCAAACTCTGTTTAGTCTGTTACCAGTTATTTCCTCAGCAGTGTAACTCTCTGTCAAAATTATACAAAGTAAAAGTGTGTTTTGATAGGGGCAAAAATTCATGAAGATACAGATTTCTTTCATTTTTACCCTGGGGTACAGATTATTTCAAACTGTTCGCTTTTAGTTTTAGTGTCTTTAGAGGTGTGTAAAGGCATAGGAAATCTGTGTATTTGGGATACATGATATCCCTGAGGACTCATTTCATCCTGTTCCCTCACCAGCTCAAGAAGCTTTTTTTATTTTTTGTTTGTTAGGAGTAGTATTGGTGAAGGCTAACTGAAGAATATTGTGTGTACATGGAAAGCTTAGCATAAACATCTCTCACTTTTTACTACTTTGTGATCCTGTTGCCTTGCGAATGAAATGGAGACCAGTTGTAGCTCCTACTGGTAAATGTCAAAAAAGCTGTACAAGAGCATTCCAGGTTTTCATAACTTCAATGGAACAAGTTTTTCTTGTTTTCCCTTGCCAACCTCACTTGTTGGTTGTTTATTTCCTGACATGTAGGTTGTACATTGCTTAATGTTGGAGATACTCATTTTAAAGCAGAATTTTTGTGAAGAATTTTCATGTTTCTTGGTTGAAAAAGTGATATTTGGCCTGAAATTATGTGTGGCTGAAAGGACTTGTTACCTTGCCTTAGAGAAGATGCTCGGTGAGATACTGGCCTGTGGCGTTTTGGAAAGTCCCAGAGTTCTAGGCCTGTGTTGAACTGCATTGGCTTTATTGGGCAGCATCGGTGATGGCAGCAGTTTTGGAGACTGTGCTTGGAGAATTGCACTTGCCCTTCCTTGTAAGGTGTCTGTGCTGCAGGCATGTTACCATCATGTTTATTGACTGTAATGACTGTTGGATACTTCTAAATTTATTGACTTTGTAGAGCGGGCATAGCTAGGCTGCAGTAGATCTTGTGTTAATAACAAAATAATAAAATAATTTGGTTGATTTTTATCCCTGCATTCCAGGGATGCTGTGAAATGGAATATCTATTCCTGAGGAGAATCATCTGCAGAATTTTGAGAGTCGTGTTTGAGTTCTGCAAGGCAGATTAGAAAATACATGTTAATACTTGTAAACTGAAGACATTTGGCCTGAGAATTAAGCTCAAGTGTTAATCCATGGAATTACTGATTTTGACACAGATTTTTTTAATTTATGAAATTTTTCTTTATTTCAATATTTATGGATTTTTTTAAGAACTACTATCGCTAATCTGTTCTGTGAGCTTTGAGAGAGGAAATCTGAAAATTTGTACATTTAAATTGGAATTCTCAACTGTTCTTTACTTACCTAAGGCTATTCACTGGTTTTGTTACAGTACTGTAATTTCTAGAAGGGAAACAGTTAAGTAAACTCTACTTCAAACCTTCCTCAGCTTCATTTACATTGGTTTTGCAATGGCTTGAGGTGTGATATGCTTGCGGCTGTTGCTGGAGGACGTCACAGGATGCTTCCATTGTTTCTCTTGTCTGGAAGGTTTCACCATTGACTCTGCTAATTGTTTTCTAGATGTGAAAATAAACTAGAGGCTCTTGAAAAGGTTTTGGCTTGTTCTCAGTCCTTATGTTTTGCTTCTGACAAAGCTGGAAGATTCATTGGCCTGTGATGCTATTCATGAGCTGGCAGTAAAGGATTCTTTCAGTCTTTTGTCCTCTTTCAGCAAGGCTCAGCATTTGTATATGCTCTTCAGCCTTTCTTTCCTTTGTAAGTGATAGCAAAAGTCAAGTGTGCCTCTTAACCATACCAAAATGTGGAGATAAAATCTAGGTCTTCCCATGATAATTGTAATCCTGGATGAGTCAAGCATTCAACACAGGTTATAAGTCAAGCCTGGTGTAACTGCTTACTTGCTGAGAGTCTGCTTTCAGTGTTACTTAAACTCCTGTTGTACAATTTATCTCTGACTTCATTCTCTTGAGTTGCAGGGGATTTACAACTTAAGGATTCCTTTTTGGGTAGAGACAAGCTGGAGAGGAAGGTTTATGCCTGCTTAACCTATTCCTAGAAAGGTTCGTGTTGCTTAGGAAAACTTGTTTGGTTTCCATGGTCTGCTGTACACAAATCTGCTTTGTCATCCGTCCCTTCTCACTGAGCTGTTAGAAGGTTTTTCTTGGACATGACTGTTTCAGTCACTTAGAACAAAGATATTCAGACAGCTTTAAGCACAGCTACCTCATTCCTTATTTTTGTGCCAGCATAGTGTCTCTTCTCTTAGCGATGCTTATCTTGATCTGTGGATGGACAACAGGCGTATCTCAACTGCCATCTCTTATGGGTTTTATTTACTTTCTTAGACTCTCCCTTAAATACATTTTTCCCTTCACCTTGACAATTGCGAGGGTTTGACTTGTGTATCCTTACTAGAAGACTCCTAAAAGGAAAGGTATGAATGCTGTGTAGTCATTGTTAAAGCATTCATTTATGTGCATTACTGTCAACTCCTTGCACCTTTATTAACGTGTTTCTTGAGTAGTTTGGTTGGGGGCCACTCTATACAGCCTTCTGGAACTGAGAAATATTTCTGATTTGTTAGTAGTGAAGATACCTGCTGCTTCTATTTTATGTAGATGCTTAAGGAAGAGTAATTGGATTTCTCTTTGCTTCCACTTGGGGTTTATAATGCAACTACCATGAATAAAACATCAGGATTGTCTCAGCTATATTACTGAGAAAGCGTTCTGAAGCATAACATTATGTAGAAGCTTGAAATCAGATTTCCTCTTTCCCTGCGGAGGTTAAAAAGCTCAGTATACTCTTGGAACAGGTACTGGCTTCAGGCCAAGACAGGAGGCATGAAGTGCTGGCTGCAGTACATATAAGCCTAGCAAGATCTGACTTCTCTAAATGCTTGGCCTCATAAGTGAATCTAAACTCGGCTTGAAAAGATTACTTTTGAAATGATGAATTCCTATGGGTCTGGTATATTACATGCAGAAAGCATGCCTAAAGGCTCTGCTTTCGTGTGTCAGGGATTTAAAAACATGGAGTGACTTGATAAGAAAGTAAATGAATTATGAGACTACTCAGGTGAGCTGTTGCTGATTGTAGGTAAGCAGGGGAAGCACAAGAGAATTACGCTGGCTGTGCAAATACAGCACATTTCATGTGTTTTTATTAATTACATCTGACTGCTGTTAATGCATTAGTGTAGCCTGTGAACATAATGTAAAAGATTTTTAGCTGACAAATGAAGTCATCATTCCAAGATACTTGCAGAAGCCTTTAAGTTCAAAGTATGTGTAGATAGTTAGGAGGTTTCCAGTGTAGATGTGCACCCAAGAAAATGCAAATTATAGTCTTTTTTCCCCTCAATTCTTATGTAATGCGTGTAATTTGAATTTCAAGGAATGAGCTGACTTCAGATGCAAAATAAGAGCAGAAGGTATAGCAGTAAGCAAAAATTTTTAACTGTTTACAGTTAACTTGCTGGATTGCTGTATACAGTTCTAACATAACAGAAACAAAACTTGTCTGACTTAAAGAAGCTTATGTTGGATTATGCAACAGATAAATATTAGCTTTTCATATTTAAATACTGGGATTTTCTTGTAACTCCTCCTTTTATCCTCTTAATAGAGCTTGCATAAGGGTAATATGAAACATGTATGTGACAATTAATTTTCTGTTCCTACTTAATTGTGAAATATTTGCATTTCAGCTCAAATCAAAGACAAAGTTAAAGAAAGGGAAAAGAAGCAAAAAGAGAAGAAGAAGCATAAAATAATGAATGAAATCAAGAAAGAAAATGGAGAGATCAAATTATTGCAGAAAGGTATGTTCAAAATATGTAGTGTTTTTTCTTTCTAAGTTCTTAAAATATTTGTGTTTAGATACTGGGTTTCAATATTGTGTTTTTCATTTAGCTTATGCCATTTTCTCTGGTTAGTTGGTATGAGGGTTGCAAGTTAAAATCTAACTGTAGATGTTACTTTTTTTGTCAAATGTATTAGGTACTGGAGATTAAAGATAAAACTGTCACCATGGTGTTGCATATACATTAGTAGTATTAGGAAAGACCAGTACTTCAAGGAATAATATTGGTGATACCTTGTTCAATAACTGCAGAGAAGATGTAGGTTATCATTTTATATATTGTGGAGAAGAAAAATGAATGTGTGTTACATTTTGTGTCTACAAAACTGAGTAACTAAGGAGTTGTAATTCAGAAACTTTGTCAAATACTAAAATGTTACATGCAACATGCTGCCTTAATTTTGGCTGATTTCTTCAACTTTGTTTTCTGTAAAGGAATGTGGTTAAGAAAATGTTTTCACATGACTTGTGCGTCCACTGATTGTTAGAATTGTACAGTAGCTGAGGTTGGAAGGGGCCTAGTCTGACACTGCTCCAAGTAGGGTCAATTAGAGCAGGTTGCCCAGGACTATCAGACTGTCTCCAAAGGTGGAGGCAACACAGTCTCTCTGGACAATTAGATTCAGTCTAGATATAAGGAAGATTTTTTTATGATGATGGTGATGAGAGACTGGAACAGGTTGTCCAGAGAGGTGGTAGATGTCCCATCCTTGGAAATATTCGAGGTCAGGTTGGATGGGGCTTTGAATAACTGGATCTAATTGAAGATGTCCCTGCTCATTGCAGGGGGGTTGGACTGGATGGCCTTCAAAGGTCTGTTCCAACAGAAACTATTTTATGAGTCTGTTGTATGATCTTTGCTATGAGGAGAGACAGCTGGGACTGAGAAGGCTGGAGAAGAGGCTCAAGGAGGATCTCATCAGTGTGTATGAACACCTGATGAAGAAGGTTGTCAGCCTGTGCTGGTTCATGGGGTTATTCCTCTCAGGTGCAGGGCTTTGCCCATCCCTCTGTTGACTTCATGAGTCCCCCCAGGCTGGCTCATTTCTACAGTGTCTCAAGGTCCCTCTCACTGGCAGCACAACCCTGTGGTGTGTCAACCCCTCCTTCCAGTTTTGTGTCACCTGCAACTTGCTGAGGGTGTGCTCTGTCCCATGACACAATTAATGAAGATGCTGAACAGTACTGGCACAAGATATCAAGGTCTGGATTAATCCAGTACGGACTGTTTTCCAGCTGGGCTTTGTAATGCTGCTCACAACCCTTTGAGCACAGCAGTTAAGCCAGTTCTTACTCTTCACTTAGGTCATGCTACATTAGATTTTTTGTGAGGGTGTTGCTTATTTGAGTAGACCAGTTTTACTTTTTTTAATATGTTATTTTCAGATTCTGCTTTTGAAGTTAGGAACAAATTCCTGATATGTTTTTCTGTTACCTTGTCTGCTGTAGGATTTAATTTAGAAACCAGAAACTGAAACCCTCAAATCAAAACTTGATCTTCAGAATGTTCCTATGAGGTCAGAGGCACAGAACCTGGTAATTACTGCATCATATATGATACTCTGCACACAAGTTAACTGTATTAGCTATGACAGCTTCAAACCTGCTTTGATCAGATCTAAAGGTATTGCCTTGAACACAGGAGTGTAAACTGGTGACTTCCTGTGAGAAGGACAGATGTGACTTGTCTTTGCTAAGCGTGGAAGGAAGTTGGTGGTTGAGATATTGGAGATACTGAGCAAAGCTTAACTGTCTCAACAGTGAGGTTCTTCAGGCTTTGTTTGAGTCACAGCCTTTTTTTACAGTGGGTCCTGTTTCTGTTGCCGTTCAGCAGATCAGGTGGAAGCTGCAAAGACAGGAAGTCTTACACAGATCTAATAAATGATGCCTAGTGGGGCTGTTGAGCCAATAATGGTGGTTTACTTTCAAAGTAATGTAAAAATATATATGCCTAGGGACTGTGTTAGAACATCTCTGCCGAGTAGCAGGATGGGTTGTTCTCATGGAGAACACTGCTACAAGTGCATTAGATGCCTTACCCTATTTCACTTGACTTGTTACCAGTCAAGTGTGTTTCAGATTTTCTTTAAAGTGTTGGCAGGAAGTGTTTTTAGAGGCTATGTTTGGTTTTTCAGTATCCTGCAAAATTGACTCCTATTTCAGGAAAAGAAGGGAATGTGTCAGGAGAGCAGATAGATTCTCTCCACTGGGTTTGTATCCTGTTCAGAACAGCTCAGTGTTTTCTGTGGGCCTCCAAAATCTGACTGGATATGCTTGTATGTGCTGTGACATTCATATAACATTTCCTGAGTCGTTTTGCTTATCTGGTTTTACATCCTGGGCTAGAGACAGCAAAGGCAGAAGTGCTTTAAGGTGCAGCTTCTTGTATGTATCAGTCTCTGTGACCTTCTCAAATATTAACTCTATCTAAGGGTGTCTTCTTCCTGCGTAGCAAAAGCTCCAGGCCCTATTGTTCTGAGCTCAGAATTTACTGCGTGGGCTTTGAACAAAGTTTAGGGATGAGTCTGCTTCCCTTTTCTTAGCATTTTTGATTTTATGGTTGGTTTTTCTTTTTTGTTTGTGTATGTCTAGAGACTGGCACTGCAGTGCCTAAAGGCATTTTATTTCCTTTTCCTAGTTATTAGATCCATATCTTGTTGTAAAATGTTGCTCTGACCATCTGTTTGTGACTTACTTTCTTTGAGGGACTGGAGGTAACAGTCTGTGAGGCTTCAGACAGCTAAGGTAGCTGGCCAAGGTAAAAGGTGACTAGTTATAGAAGAAGTCAGTAGTGAGGGACTGATGCCTTTTGAGGGAGAGTTGGTGCATAAGCTTGATTTTGGTGCTTTAAGCTGAATGTGGAAGTGTTACTTGTATGAGGAAGCTCAGGGGTGTAAGCTGTTCATCTGCCTAAACTTGAGTTGGCGTTCTGTTGAAAGCCGTGATAAAACTTGCCAGTGTTGGAGACAGACAGTTCTTGAAGAAGGTATTTTTTTGCAGTTCCTGAGGCTGCTAAAGGAAATGAGGCACTTTCAGAGAGGCTGATGGCTTTTGTTATGAATCTAGAATGAAAAGGTTTTTTGTCACCCTTTTGCACTTGAAGATGTATTCTCTGAAGATTAAAGCTATCTAATTGCCTCTACGTCTCTCAGTCTGTTATGTGGAAGAGCTCAGTTTTTGGAAAAAAAAGCTTCTTGGCACATGCATATTGCTAAAAATTCAGAAACTTTAAGTGATTTAAACTTATTTAAAAAAAAATTGCATAGTAAATAGTTACCTTCTAGAAATGGAGAGTTTCATACAAAAAATTTGATGTGACTGAAAGTTACTGGAGGTCCTGCAAAATGGAAGATGATTAATAGGTTTATTTGTAAACAGTCCCATTTGTGTTTTTTCTTTAAGAAAAAAAACAGTCAGTCTTGTTTTTCACATTATTTATATCAGAGCACAGCAATAGCTAAAAATGCAGTAGGAGAAATTCTTAGTGTGTGTTTCTGCAAGGTTAAATGCCTTGGTTTATTGAATGCCAAAATGCAGGAAAGAACTGAAAATGAACATTTTATTTTGCTGGTATGAACATATGTAAGTACAAATTGTTTCATAAAGCTTTCTTTTATTATTATTCTGGAAGAAATGACATTTAATTGCACATTCTTATGAACCTTTTAAATTTTTTATAGATGGGTTTTGCACAGAGGTAATTATAAAATTGGTATATTGAACACGAGACCTGAGTCATACTGCATGCTTTTCCCCATCCACTGTATTTTGTCTGTGTGTATCTTTAGGGAGAATGTTGAAGGATTTATTTGCACTTCAGTCGATGGGACATTGAGGGAATAGGTAAGACTGAAGTAAGAGTGCAGGGCACACAACCCATCACACTGATTTGCCTGTAATACTGAGTTTGCTTCACAGTCCTTATGCTCCAAGTTACTAACTTTTACCAATAAAATATATGAGTTTGAGGTAAAACACAGATGTTGAATGTGATGGAGCAGGTGGCAGCTGGAGGGAGAGCTGTACTGTAAAGCTTTGAAGTGTGTCTTGCTGGAGGTGGGGGTCTGGGGATTGAAGCAAAGACTTCTCGTACATCAATGAAAAGTGAAAGCCTTTTTCTACAACTGCTTGCAAAATCTATGATTTTTTTATATGATTTTTTTAAATGAGATCTGAAGGCTGTGGTTACAAATTATGATAGTCTGTTTAGCATATGTACGTGTATTATTTGGAATGTCTTTTTATGGTGAAGACTGTGGAAATAATTGTAGTTTTTGAATTACTGTGTTGCAAAGATAAAACTTCTGCGAGAATTTCAATGCTGCCACATTTATAGGAGTTCTTCCTTCAAGAACAGTCTTTGTACCTCCAGATTATTTCTAGTAAATATCTGAGTACGTTGTTAGGCTGTGTGAACACAAAATATTTTTCTTTTACCCTCTGATTGTATTGTTTATGGGAAGTGGGTTTCAGTTCTAATTTTGATGCCACAGATTAATTAAAATACTGCGATGGTCAGTTCAGAAAAGAGGTCTGCTTCTATGTGTGTTTCTCTGCTGTCTTTAAAGTTCTTCCATCGCAGGGTGAAAAATGCTGGTAGAGGAGTGTGTGTGTGTTGAAGTGGAAGGCTTCATTGAAACAAGGTGATTAAATCAGCACTTTTTCACCTCATGGTGTATTTTAAGATCCAGGAGTGTGGAACTGCACAAAAACTTTGTCCTGCATTGATTCCTCTTAGATTTTTCTTCTCATATGCAGACTTTTAATTTTGAACAGAAATCTTCTGTTAGACCTTTCCTCTCCACAAAGTTTTCTGTCCCTGCTTTTAGTCTAGGTGCGGTTTCTGTTAATGGTTTTTATTTGGGTTGTTCCCTTATTTGGAGAACAGATATTTAGATGTATGGAAGGAATAACAGGTTGCTGCTTTTTGAAATACTTCTATAAAGTACATAAAATAGT